AGGCAAAACCAGCTAAGTCCGTGTCAATATGGTACCTAAAGAGAGAAAAGAAGTCGAAGCTTTCTTCTTGCCATTTATGACTAGAAAGACAATTGTAAGTTTCCTTCTTGTCATTTATAACTAAAAAGGCAATCATAAGCTTTTTTCTTACCCTTATGATCAGGTATAAAAGCTTGCATTTAACATAGAGAAAGGAGACTTCGGGGGGATTACTCGCACTTGTACTCATATACCTCGGGTTACTAACTTAAATATCAGAGCGACCAGGTCAGGAAATCTCTTTTGACCTCGATTTTCATATAGATGGCATTTTATGAGCTCATCGTTTTCACCTCGGAAATACCTTGGACAACCTTACACATATGAGTCTAGACCACATCAAGCTAACATTAATAATATTTTTCGCTAACATATGCATTGATTGACGTAAAAGAATTGTATATCTTTTGACTAGATTCAATTGCTACACATATAATTTACTAAAATATAAATGCTTTCCATTCCTTGGTGCTAAGTATAGCAAATCCCATCCTTTGTCCCAAAACATAAATATTTCTTGGTAACTTTGAGTTTTTCCCAACATAAAGTTTCAAATTTAAAAAATTCTACTCTGGCTATACAAAAATATCATTTTGGTTTTATAACTTTGAAGAATTTTCATCATAGCTCCAGCCCTAACCATGCCTTTGCTCGCTTTTGGTTGTTCGGCCTGTTGTCCCTCGCCATGATTGATAGTGACCCTCACGTGGGGGGCGCAAGTGGCCATAAGAGGGGAGGGGGGCAACCGACATTGTCTACCAACCCATGCAAGAAGGTACAGGTGGGCAAGAGAGGGGGAGGCAATGCTATCAGCTCATACACGGAGACATAGGCAACAATGGGAGAGGAGCGATTGACATTACTAACTCGTCTATGCGCTAGAGGTGTTTAAAGATGTTTGAATCGAACCAAGGTTTGAACTGAACCAAACTGAAATAATGGTTCATTTCAGTTAAAGTAAGGTACTCTGAACTGAAATAATTTTGGACCTACCTAATCAAACTAGTTCAAAACCGATTAATCTGATTTTGTTAATCGGTTAATTGGTTTTTAATTATAAATAATTTAAAACTATACATCTCAAATGAATTGATTATGAATTGGTTTAATTTAATTGAACCAAACCAGAATTTTAATCTAATTGGACTTACATTCTCAAAAAAATCATTCTAAACATTCTAAGCAATTGGACGTATGTGCAAGTGTTTTCTAATTTTTTTATTAGAAGATGCCCGGAGGAATAATGACTTTACATGTAGCTCTTTTTTTCTTTGACAATGAAGATATACAATGATACAGACAAATCAATATATCAATATAGGAATTCAAACAAATCAACAAAGAGATTGTAAACAAAGAAGGATGAAAAAAAATTAGAGTTCATACATGAGACAAGAGAGCTAGACTAAGAAGGGGATGATAAGGAAGAGCAATAGAGACGAAGGAAGAGTAGTAAATTCGTCAGAGTTTAGGAAGAAATTTTAGAGTTATTAGGGCATTGGGTTGAGTTGATATTTTTTAATTTTAAATCAGTTCGATTTAGTTTGAATTGGTTAATCGAATCGAAGAAGAGTACCATTCCAAACTAGAACTATTCATAGTCTTCAAAACCAAATTATTGATGGATCGATTTGGTTCATGTTTGTTTTGAGTTCAATTTGATTTTTCGATTCGATTTGAACACTCATAGTGCAAAGGTGCAAATGACTAGGCGAGGCTATGGGTAGTGTTGCCAAGTGAGGGGCAAAGGGTGGTGGGAGACGAGGGGGAGGTGCAACCAAGCACCATAGAAGTCGATGACTAACAAGGATAAAATAATTATTTTTGAAAAAAATTTTGAATGTGAATTTTAAAAAAAATCTAAAGTTAGAAACTTTTTTCAAGAATCCTCTCCATATTTATTTTATAGGAAGACAAATTCAAATAAAAATTTAAAAATTATCTAATTTTTATTAGAAAATAGAAGATTAAAAAATAATATAGCCATTGTCCTTTGCTCGATTGAAGCGAGATTGTATGACGATCTTGACCCTTCTTTTTATTCATTATGATTATATTAACAATAGAATAATTCATTTCATGTCGTATTTGAAAGGGCAAAATAGATCCTCGATTAAGTCAACTCGCACATCGGACCTTCGCTTCCCCTCAGCCCCATTCGTGGAAAGAATTCAAACCCCCTCCTCTCTCCCCATTCTTCTCTCCTCTCGGAACCCCGCGCTTCCCACCCGCCCTCCTCCGCCGCTTCGCGTCACCGTAACCCTCCTCCGCTGCTTTCGTCGCCGTTCTTTGGTTTTCTTTTGATGGCTCCGGACCTCCCCTGCGACGGAGACGGCGTCTGCATGGTTTGTCGCGCGCCGCCGCCAGAGGCCGAGGTGGTGAACTGCCACACGTGTACGACGCCATGGCACGCGGGCTGCCTCTCCAAGCCGCTGGAGACGCTCGCGGCAGTCGCGGACTGGCAGTGCCCGGACTGCTCGCCGCTTGAGGATGGCGGCGCTGCTTTGCCCGCTGCCGCCGCTTACGCATCTGGCGAGAAGTCTGACCTGATCTCCGCCGTCTGGGCGATCGAGGCGGACGCCTCGTTGACTGAGCGGGAGAAAGCCAAGCGGCGGCAGGCTCTTGTGAGCGGCAAGAAGGTTGTGGAGGAGGAGGAAGAAGAAGAAGAAGAAGAGGAAGGGGGGAAGAAGAAGAAGAAGAAGAAAGCTGAGGGTGGAGATGATGTTCTTGATTTGCTCGATGAGAAGTTCAACTGCTCTTTTTGCTTGCAGTTGCCGGAGCGGCCGGTCACCGTGAGTGATTACTCTTTGTTGCTTCTTGTACTTGTCTCGACAAGTTCATTTGGTTTCTGTAGAAACTGACACTCACATTTTGATCCATAAAGTCATTAGAGAGTCATAGGTCAAATGGTATCGATTCATCTCCTCTTTTGTTCCTCTATGCGGTTTTCCAACTCCCCCGACGTTAATTTCTGCTGAGTTCATATCAAGATCTGGATGCATGTGGAGTTCATATGATCCACATGATGGTAGCTCTTGTTGATCTTTAGTTTCTTCTGCATTTCTTTCGTTCTCGGGGCTCCCAAAATATTCATCTCCTCAAAATATCCTCCGTTTTCTCACTTTGGCAAAGACCTGGATCCTTGTTCTTGTTAACTTTCCGAATCTATCTTTCTGTCTTGTGAATCTTTATCCATGCACATTGGTGAAGCATGGGCTGAGAGAATGATCTGGGTAACATTCTTGGATGTCTTTGATTTCCCTGCTTTATAGTTTCTACATGGTTTACCATTTTAGTAGATGTTTTGGTGCTTTCATGCCTTTTCTTCCTGTTATTTTGTCTTTAATCCAAAGTAATTAATGAAGTCTAACTGAAAGAGTGGAGTGACGGAGATGGCAGAGTGGTATCTGTTGTTTTCTGCATGTGCCATCTTTATCTGAAAACTTGAAGGCAGCGTCACAAAGTTCTGCTGAGTTTCCAATTTATTTGACATTCGGCATACACGTTATAAATGATTTACTTCAAGAGTTTGGTTGGCTGATTTACTTCTCTTGGTTTACTTCAAGAGTTTGGTCGGCATACATGTTATCAAACTTATTTGCACATCATATTCTTTACACTTCACCGAACAGCTTCATAACTTATAAACATTATTGTTTAAAATCTTGTGGATTTTCTTTTACCAGGCCTTCTTTCTCTTGTAAAATTTGTGGAAATTAGTTTCCTCTCACAACTTTAATTTCTATTTTCTCTACCATATCGTTTACCACTTGTCTTCTTTTCCTTTTACTTGTGAACAATGGAGAAGTCATGGATGATTTACATAAGAGCTTGGTCAGCCTTATTCACTTCTCTCTACCAACTTGTTTGAAAGCTTCAGCTCATATCAAACTTATTTGATTACTTATAGATTTTTCTTCACATAAATTTAAAAATCTTTTAGGGAATATCTTTTACCTTGCATTCTTTCCATTGTAGTGGAAATTTATTTCCTCATCTCTAATTTCTACTTTTTCTACCGTGTCATTTACCACTTTTGTTCCTTTCCTTTTGCTCATGAACAATGCAAATTTGTACTGATAGCACAATCTCTCCTTTCAGTTCGGATGGTAGTATTGAAGGAAGAAGTTTTAGACACCGTGACGAGTATATTATTCTTGCTTGTATTAGCAACTATCATTTCCTGTTTTGTTAAATGAAACTGTAGTTTGCTACATTTTTTTACTTTCATTTTTTGTTAGAATATATTGTTTGACAACAGCATACACTATAAAATTATGAGGTTAATATGTGATGGTTGCATATTTCGAGAAGGATCAAGCTGTAGAAAATATTTATGTCTATTGTCTTTCTGGTCTGTTTCAGGTCTATATTAGTCCATATTGCTTCCTTACCAAAATGGCTGCAGAATGTAGCATATGTTTTTATTATTGTCATTATTTTTGTTAAAATAATTGAGTGTTTTAAGCTTTATTAGTGAACTGGTCCATGATTAAATAGACTAGGTTAAACTTCACATCTTTAGAAGCTGCCTTTTTTGTAGCCTTCATTGCTGGGCTGAGGTCACAATTAGCCAGCATGTATACAGTTGTCTCAGACGTAGGTTGTCGGTGCTTTGTAGATGTGCAGACTGGTAAGTGAATTTTCTCCTTGATTGTTCCCTCAATTTTCTTTGCCACTTGTTGTTGGCACACTTGGGACAACAGGGTGGTGTGTTGGGTTGTGTTGGCTTAACTGAACTCCCTTTTTTGCATGTTGATTGACGCAAGGCATGCTATTAGTGTACCAAGAATTGGTTAAAAGCTCAATATGACCTAGTCTGCTTTCTGAAACTTGATTTTAGATTTATTTTTTTCCTCAAAATTAAGTATCTTATTACTTGGTTGTAAATCTTGGAATTAAAATGAAATAACTAATAATTTTGTGGGTTTTATGAAGTTGTGTTGGCAGTAAAAATTAAGCCTCAATGCTAGATATTCAAGAATATATTTTTTCGCTTGGATATAGGAATCAAAGAAATAAAGTGGAACTTGCAAATTACATCTGTGCTTGCACTAAGGTTGAAAATATTGAACAAGTTGAAACATAAGTTGCTAAAACAAAGAATTGACTTTATGTAGAAAACTGTCATAAAATTGATCAAAAGAGAAGGTAATAAGAAATGCCATGTGCTCTTGTGCCAATTTGAACTGTCTCTCACATAGTTCTTGAATGCTCCATTCCTCTGTTTCATGCTTCACGTGCAAGATATGAGAACACATTGCTTTCATTTTTAAGAAGCATCTAACAAAATCTTTCATCAAGTGATGTACTAGGATGCAACTCTAGTTTTCCCTTTTCCTTTTCTGCTTTTGTTTTGAGTTTGTTCGTTCTTTGTTATGCTTTTGAACTGCAGGTTTAATGGCTTTTAACAAACTAGATATAATTCACTAGATTAAGGTTGTGGTACAAATTCTAGAATTATATTCTTTGTTTTCTTCACATTATTTATATGGTATGTCATCAATGTTTTCATATTCTTTTTGGTAGAAGTTTATTTCCAATGGTGAACTGGTTTGTGATTTCTTTTCTCTTTCGTGCACATAATCTACATTGAATATGTTACATACTTACTATTTCTACCCCCAATAGCCCAACTGTGAATAAGGATGAATACTGTTATAGTATTCTTCTATAGCAAAGAATATGGGGTTTGCAATGATGATTTTAAAAATTGATCTTGGAGACTCACTGGATGTTTCTTATTATGGCACCACCACAAGAAATCACAACTGCAACAACTGACAACATTATTCAGCAGTAAGTTGTCATTTGTGATACAAGGGTTTTATCAATATTTGAAAGGAGGCACAAGGCTTTCAGCTTATTATAAAGGGATTTGGAGAGACATTGCTTCACGAAGTCCTGATTTGATATACAGGCTGCGGTTTGAAATTGGAGATCGGTATTGAGTAATTGAAAGTGGATTGGAAGCTGGTATGGTGTTTCAAGAGAAAAAGGGAATGATCTTGTATTTATGTGGAGATAAAGGTTGATTCTTGCTACTTTTGTTTGGAGCAATATATGAAACAAATAAGCATCCAGAAAAAAGAAATTGCCAAGAATGCCATGCTATTTGGGAAATTCCATGTTGAAGAACACATGAGATCTTCATTGAGCACATAATTACTGCAATGTGCTTACTTATTCCCTTCCTCTATTTCTTGTTATCATCTGCCACTTTTGTTTCTTAATTGATGAACACATATCATGTTTAATAATTTATCATTTTATGAGCAAGGCATTGACCTTGATCATTCAAATGATAATTAAATTGTTTAGGACAGTCAGCATGCCAGGGGGTCATGCATGTGGGTAGTTCATCCCCTCAGCCTCAGGAAGCACTGTGCAGCAAACCATGCAGATGCCATCATCGTCACAGGAGAGCTCAGGAGCCATCAGAGAAAGATTCAAGGAGCACTGATCAGCTAAGTAGCAACATAAGTAATTGAGAAAAGTTATAGTTTGGCGAAGTGAAAAAAGAGTAGTGGCAGGGCTTGTGAGGGAAAGAAGCATGGGGTTTCTAAAGAATGGAGAAAATAATTGGGGGGCGGTTTAAAACGTTTCTACAAGCTCAATCAAAGGGGCCAAACTATTAATGAGTGGTTGGATGTACTTGTAGTCTAAATTAATGTCAAATACCTATTTTGGTCCTTAATTATATGATATAGAATTCAAGCCAAGTTGTTTGTTGTCAGATATTTGTTATAATATGGAATTGTCGCTTGAATTCTTTAGTTATTTAAGAAAATCACAATTTTAAATTACCTATTTTAGAGCATCTTGAGTCTAAATGCAAGTGTTAAGATATGTGGTTTCCATTTTGAACTATTTTGTTATTTAAACAAATTTTAAGGAGATTTGTATTGGAGGACTTGATGCTTGAAGAAGTAAATTAAATTGTGAGTGTAATATGATTAAAAGAAGAGGTTTCGTACAATGATAAGGTTGCTCCTTTACAACCTAGGAGATCAGGATGGAATCAACCACGCTACGTACATTGACTCTCCCTAGGCTCTACATTGGCCCCGCATTAGTGGGAGCCTTATGCACTGGGTATGATTTTTTTATGAGCAAAGGGATTTCAAGACCACATGTTAGCCCTTTTCTTATGAAAATCAACATGGATCATCTTTGGTCATCCACTCCTAGAATGCATTTGAGATTAGTCAAAGTATTTCGGATCAACTGATCTCCCACTCCTTGAATGCAAAATTAACATTTCAATTAGAAGGCATTGCAAATAAAAAAAAAAAAAGAATGATATCTCGTGTTTGTATAACTACGATAATTTTAGTTTAAAACACATGTTGTTTGAGGTCATTATGCATGATTTCATGTCACCTTACAGTGGATAAGTTGACGAGGTGTTTACTTTGCTGCCTGCAGTCGAATGTGGCATGTACTTGAAAGCTAGGTTTTTTCTTTCATACTTTGCGAATGGATACTTGAATTCCAGGTATGGCTCCTAATAATCTAACCTCTAGAGCATACAATGTGCTCTATACCACTGAGCTAATAGCTCGTTATGTATTATTCTCCAATTTCGAATAATAATCAGAATCCTTCTTATTCATTTGACTCTGTACCGACTAGTGATACAAGCCATAGTACACAGTACACTCTTAATTAAAGGAAACTGAACATAGGGTGGTCTATCCACTTTGGAAAATTCTGAATTTCCATTAACAGTCTTTATTACAATTTGAAACATTTTTATCTTTGTAAACTTGTATACCAATTGCCTCATGCAACTTAGGTTTGGAAATGAATGTTGCACATTCATTTGATTTGGTTTCTATCAGTTCAGACTGGAGAATCCATACATTGTGAACAAGACAATTAAAATGAGTAAATTTGGGTCATTATCTCGTTAATGAAGTATGTCATGTTTATTTAGGTTCGTGTTTGGGAAAAAAAATGCACGTGATCTGTCAAGCGATTCAATCAGTGATGTGCGAATAAATTTTCAATTAAGAAATTGTGAGTGATGCAAGAAATCTAATGTGATGATGCTTCCTATTATTTTGAAGGAATTGGCAGAGTTCCTTGTTGTGACTTTTGGTGTCTTCTCTATCATGCCTTTTGTTTTTCTTTGGTCCTTGTGAATGTTAACTCATTGCTTGCAACAGGTGTGCAACCTTCTTGTACTGTGCGCTCTTTGACAGCCCATGCCAGCTTAACCATACCACTAACTTCTCACTGTGTAGTGTATGTCTTGTTGAGTTGCACCATGACATGCACAGTTAATCCATTGTCATTGAAATGCCACTATTTTGAAAAATGAATCATTGTAGGGGCAAAAACCATTGCAGTTGAATTTGATTTCTTGGGTTGATCCTATGTGAAATAATAGTAAAGAGATCTGCATTATCCCCTTCAGACCAGGAATGCTAATATTTACTACGTGCCCACAATATTGCCATATTGATGGATATGGTGAGATTGTGCTCGTATATGATGCGAGTACAACAGTGCAGATTTCAGTTGTCAAAAGTGTTTTTTGGTCAAATCTTTCTGAAAATGCCTAGGCATGCAAGTCTTGAATTACTAAATTGGTATTTGCCAGTTAGTAGTTGTAATGCCAATTTAGCTCTTTTTTTTTCATTTAGATTCTATTTGAGCAACATATAAGAAGGGGACTCTTGATTGATGATCATCTGTGAACTGCTAATACAAAATTGTAAATATTTCATGAACTTCTTTTCTTTCCTTGCAGACACCCTGTGGTCACAATTTCTGCTTAAAATGTTTCCAAAAGTGGGTTGGGCAGGGTAAACATACATGTGCAAAGTGCCGATTTTCTATCCCGCCTAAAATGGTGTCCCAACCAAGAATCAACTCAGCCCTTGTAGTGGCTATTCGTATGGCAAAGGCTGCAAAGTCAGCCACATCTGGGGGCCAAACAAATGTATATCATTTCATTCGAAATGAAAGCAGACCTGAGAAGGCATTTACTACTGAGAGGGCTAAGAAGGCTGGTAAAGCAAATGCATGCAGTGGCCAGATATTTGTTACTATTGCTCCAGACCATTTTGGTCCAATACTTGCTGAGAATGACCCAAAAAGAAACCTAGGTGTGTTGGTTGGAGAGATGTGGGAGGACCGGATGGAATGCAGGCAATGGGGTGCCCATTTTCCTCATGTAGCAGGAATAGCTGGGCAGTCTGATTATGGTGCTCAGTCAGTTGCACTCTCAGGAGGATACGAAGATGATGAAGATCATGGAGACTGGTTCCTTTATACTGGCAGGTGCTTTTACTTGCTGCAAATGTTCACAGTCCATCCTTTGAACAAACATGGCCAATTTAAGAATGTGGTTCTTTATAAATGTTTCCTGTTGTTTCTTGGCTTTGTCAGTTTTGTTCTTTCCTAATGCAATATATCTACTGATGTTCATTTCTTTGCTTATTTTCTGATTATTTAAGCAGTATATTTACACTTTTCATGTCTGACTTTGTTATTTTTTGATGCAAAATTGGAAGTGGTGGTCGTGACTTAAGTGGAAACAAACGCACGAACAAGGAGCAGGCCTTTGACCAGAAATTTGAGAAACTTAATGCAGCTTTAAGAGTTAGTTGCCTGAAAGGGTATCCGGTTCGAGTTGTAAGGTAAGTGGCGCTACTCCTAGATTAATAACTTACTGTACCCTGTCTGCGAGTTTCATTTTGATGGCACTAGAATAGTCCTAAGCATCACAATCATACTGTATACTACATTTGGTCATTTGTTATTTTTCAAGTAATATGAGCATTTTTATGGCCTTGAGAACAAATAAAAATCTAAAGAGATGTTTGTGACATGCATGTATCTGTTTGGACACATTCTGTTGTTTGATGCAGCAAGGCGACTAGAGGCAAATACAATGACACAAAAGAAAATAGTTAATTTGAGTGTGTTCGGTATTGCATTATTGATTAACAAGAGACACCGGAGATCAAGGATTGAAATTTCGTATCGTACCGAAGTTTCGAGACTTGTTTGGTACGGTACGATACTGTGTACCGAGCGGTACAATTCGGTATACCGCTCGGTATATATAAAAGTAAAAAAAAAAAAAACAATGGCCTCGTCGCTATTTTTGGCATGTGGGGAGAAGAAACCTTCTCCCCACGTGGGCAGAAAGCGAGGCGACGTCACCCCTTTATATATATATATATATATAATAAAAATTTTTTTTTCTACGACGTCGCCCTCTCTTCTCCCCAGCGGGGCAACATCGCTAAAAAACGAGGCGTCATCGCCTTTATATATATATATATGTGTGTGTGTGTGTGTGTGTATCTATATATATGTGTATATTCATATATATGTGTGTGTGTATATATATATATATATATATATGCCCGCGACGTCTCCTCTTTTTTGCTCGCGACGTCGCCTCTCTTCTCCCCGCGATCGTGGATTCTTCTCTCCGCACCGAGAGAAGTCGCCGACAGACGAGGAGGGAGAGCGACACCGATCTCTAGGTTTTCCTCTTCTTCTCTTTTTTCTTTCTTCCCTTGCTTAATACCACCCTTCTCCCTTGATCACCATCCTGGGTGGAAACAACCGCAATCGATGGTACCGCCCAATTGCGAGTGGTCCGTATATCGGTTTGCTGGCGGATCCGTACATACTGCCTGGTACGAGTGATATTATTCGAAATTAAAGACCTTGCTAGAGATGAAAATAATTTTTGTTGATTAGTCTTTAAAAAATATAGTAACTGCTCCACCCATGAATTTATATATGACAAAAATTATGGGTATAGGCATCAGACAAAGATTAATTTGGTTAGTTTTAGATCAATTACTGTTTTTTGATAATCCTATTATATTTAAATTTTTTTTGCTTGTGTTGTAATTTCGGCATGACTAAAATATTTGTTTCATTGAAAGGTCTCATAAAGAGAAGCGCTCTTCATATGCTCCTGAATCTGGCGTGCGATATGATGGAATATACAGGATTGAGAAATGTTGGCAGAAAGTTGGGGTTCAAGTATGTGATGTGCCTGCCATGTACATGGATTGTTTACCTTTTCTGCATTATTTATATTTCAATAGACAGTGAGGAAACCTGATTTGTGGATAATATTGTTGGTTTTTTATCTTTTTCCAGGGATACAAGGTCTGCAGATATCTCTTTGTTCGCTGTGACAATGAACCAGCACCCTGGACCAGGTTTTGTTATGATATATGTATATATAGCTTGTTCTTTGAGTGCCATATCTATGCCTTTTTTGTGTTCAGTTAATTCGCATTGTTTAAAAAAATGTCAACTTGATTGCAAATTCAGTGATGAACATGGTGATCAGCCCCACCCCTTGCCTTCTGTTAAAGAACTGAACAGTGCAACTGATATTACAGAGAGGAAGGAAAGCCCTGCATGGGACTTTGATGTATGGATCTGTTCTGTAAACTTTTTCAAACCATTAACAAATTTAGCTCAACTACATTCTTCAACAGACATTTATGACAGATCTAACATCATCTCTTCTGCAATTCTCGAGTGATAGGTTATTCACCAAAGTGCATATAATATATTTTTTCTTTTCCTCTTGTTTGTGTTGCTTTAGGATAGAACATGATAATATACTCCTTGTTTGGCAATGATACATCTCAGTAATAGTTCATTTTGAGTCATGTTTCCTTGCACATTCTTAAGCTGTCAGTGTTATCATTGACCGTTTGATGCTAAGGAATTTTTTTTTCTTGTTGAGTTTAAAAGATCACAAATCAGATACCTTAATTTGTTGCATTAACAGGTAAAACATGGCTGGAGATGGGTGAAGTCTCCACCAACAAGCAGAAAGCCTGTGACGAGTAGTGATACCGACGGGAAAAAAGGTGGTAGAAAAGCAGTAAGGCATGCCCACAAATTGTCCGTAAGGGAGAGGCTACTGAAAGGTTTGCCTCCTTATGTGCTTGTGGATTATCTCATGTTTGCTATCATCTTCTTCTATGCTTGGTTTGAAGTTTGCCTGTTATTGTGCTAAATGTTGCACTCTTTTTGGCCTACAGAATTCAGCTGTCTTCTTTGCCGAAAAGTTATGACTCAACCACTGACGACTCCCTGTGGCCACAACTTCTGCAAATCTTGCTTGCTTGAGGCATTCACTGATAAATCCTTTGTGCGGGAAAGAATTTGTGAAGGTGGTCGCACCCTCCGAGCTCAGAAAATTGTTAAAAGATGTCCTTCTTGCTCGACCGATATATCTGACTTTCTATGGAACCCCCAGGTAGGACACAACATGATCCGTATCAGTTCACCAACAACTAATTATAATGCTGTTGAGTATCATCCTGCTGCTGAATTAACTGCTTCTTTCAGGTTAACAGGGACCTAATGGATTTGATCGAGTCACTCGAGGACAAAACTGAGGAAGAGAAGGTGGAGCAGCAAATTGAGGATGACACCAGCGAAGAGGGTTGTAGTAGTGCTAATGACACAGAAGAGGCAGCTGAGGAAGCAACCGAGGTCCAAGACATAAAGCTGAGCAAGGAAGAATCCGATAACCTGGAGAATGGGAAGCTTGATGCTGCCGAAGGTGACTCCCAAGTCAATGTTCTTGGCGAGAAAGATGGTGCAGAGGACACCATAGACGCGACAAACTCTGAGCTCTCATGCAAGCGAAAGAACCATTTGGCGTGTAGACGTGGTGTCAAAAGGACAAGGAACAGCGAGAGCCAGTGATTTGTGGAGGATGTGGAGCTGAAGAAGCTAAAAGGTCAAGCAGCTTCTTTGCGCTGCCACCAACTTGACCAATAGAAGTCTCTATAGATCCTTGTGCAGCAAAATAAACGGTGGTTTTGTGCTGACCATATATGGTTACCTAATCATTCATTTGGATCCTTTGTTGATGTATCTGATATTGTCATGATTACATGTTAAGTTCTGATTTGTCAAAAAAAAAAATTGCTTGATTCATGCTGTGGGTCATAAAATCTTTGGATGGCATTGCTTTGTTGGGGACTTTGACAGCCTTATTTCTTAACATGTAAGGGTAACTTTGCATGATTATCATACTAATAATCCATATAACAATGCCATCGTTTCAAGTTTGCCACCGGTTTACTGAGATTAGTTTAATTAAAACCCTAATGATGGCAACGGAGCGCCAATAATTGCTTACAGAGGGAAGAAAGAGAATGCTTAAAGTTACTGGTTAATATTTGCCCACAGCCCATATTAAAATTCCCGGTTTTTTCGACCCATAATGCAACCAGTCCCGAGATCGGGGAGGCAGAAGTTGATTGTGGGCTTCGCTTCGTTTTTTTCTTTATTTTTACTTTGCTGTATTTAATTTTTTAAGCCTATTAACCCTCTGTGTTTCAGAGGGTAAGTTTTACTAGGGAATGATCGGACCTCCATATGTATTTCCAGCACAAATACAACAAAATATATAGGCCAGCAGAGGACAAAAGTGTTCCTGGTGAACTTACCGCCTGCAAGTCGATGGTGAATTGACTCCGTGGCGAATTCGTCCAGCCTTGGCTGACTTATTCTTATCAGTCAGCGATGACCATACTTCGAAATTAAATCACTTGATAAATGGGGTCAATTTCATAGAAAAAAACCATAATTTTACACTTTTCCACGTAGCGTATCTGTTTTCATTATCCTTGCAATTGGACAAAAGTGTCTTTAGCCACTCTTTTATCCTTTTCCTCGTTTTCCTCCTGTCCACTTTCAGTTGAAGTAGTTCGATCAAACCAAAATGTTGAAATTAAAAAAAATAAAAATTAAATAATATTAATATATCAATTTATAATAAAAATTTAATTATATAAAGATATTTAAAATAAAAATAATTACTAATTATCGAAATAAATAATATAAAAATACAAATCAGATTATTGAATATAAAGTAAAATATAATATAATAATACTATTGGTATAATATAAATAAATAACAATATGATCTAAAAGTATCAAATTTTAAGGCGACATTGAAAATAAATTACAAAGACTTAAATAATCAATTTTATATTTTAAGAACTAAAGTATATATTTTACTTATATTAGTCTCATTTATGTTTTTCTTATTTTGCTCGATTAGGGTGATTCAAAACAACTTAGGGCTAAAAACTATGTAAAAATTATAAAATAAAGATTTTGGAAGTTTTAGGAAAGAATATCTTTGGACATGAATTAATGGACCTGTTTTCCGTTAATTGAACCTTAAAAGCTAATATATTATTATTTTTACAAATTAAACTTAAATTATAATTATTTTTAGGACAAAAATTTCAAGAAACCTTGAAAAATATCATGCAAAGCCTTAAAGGACAACTTTTGCGATGTTTGGGCCTATAGAAGTCTAAATTTTAGTTTATTTAACAATTAAAAGGACAAATTTTTCTTTTTATTTTTTACCATTTTCAAGAGTTTTGGTTATATATATATATGTATGTATATATATATATATATGTATATATATATATGTATGTATATATATATATGTATGTATATATATATATATATATACATATATATATGTATATATATATATATATG